GAAGCGAACATATACTCCTCCAACGCTGTCGTCCAGCTCACCACTGCTTCAGTCTGTGAGAACTCTCCGGACATCCTCTTGAGATGCTCTTGGCTGAAGCGTTGGACCTTTCGTAAGTGCCGCGTGCCCGGATCGAATATGTATGAATAATCTACTGTTTCAGCTGCCTTGTGCATTTGCATTACCTTTCTCAAGGTTTCAGAAAGTAGAAACCACATCTCTCGATAGACTTACTGATTGCCTTTTGTTAGGTGTACTACTCATCGAAGTACCTTCCCTGGAGCTAATCGCGCACGCAGTGCGTGAGGTTCCATGCGCTCCAGTGGAACGGTTCTACAACGGACGCACTCACGTGCTCACGCGGGAGTCCCACACGAACACACAAGCCGTCTCTCGCTTCCACAAAAAGCAAGTACCTCGCAATCCCGAGATATCTTTTCTCCTCTTTTAGTTGTATCTCCTCTCACTTGTGTTGGTGTAGCGACTCCCATCATCCTCTTAGCAAAGTCAATACGCTCGTCATGGTCCTGATCCTACCTCATATTGTTATTATCGCTCTGCTGGCTACCCAGTCTGATGCTAAGTTCCCTCCACCGAGCGGCGAGTATTTCAAGGCAATCACTGGCTCTACAACTGTGTCAGCTGACTTTACAACAGGCATCCCGCCCGCGTCAGACGAGGTCGTCCTGCATGTGAATTGTACGCAGACTCCGGGCGGAGTTAGGTCATTACCACTGGACCTTGATGCGCGTAACGATGACTTCAACATAGGCCAGTCTTCCTCGGGGGCACGCCAACACTATTTGACACTGGTTGGACAGTATTGTCCGGGCTTGGTCAGTGAGCATGACTTTGAAGACTTTATATATCATGGTAAAGCCAATACTATTGAAACACGAGTGGGTGGCAAATATGTGACTCTGATGAAGTCTCCACCGTGAAGATATGAGACCGGTATCGAGTCGACTCGAGCTAGGCATCTTCCGATTCTCGACTATGGTCTCCCTCGTTATGAGAACGTGGTTGGAATATGATTCATAAAGATTATTACGAGTTAGCTATTGTCTCATGGTTTTCCCCCTGGGAGAATCCCCCATATATCGGTGCATACCGATCTGTCCTGTTCGTCAACCGCGGACTGGCCCTTTATTGTTAGTCTTCTACCACTCCCTCAACAGCGGTATTTGAGTTGTAAAAGTTGGCTACGATGATACTACATCGCATAGACAATGCGAACATTGCTCTCCGATGGATGTAACAGTTTAACATTCACAGTCTTCATTCAAGCGCAACTCTGAGTCGGCATGGGTATAAGTGCCCGAGGTGATTGCTAACAATACTCTAACACACAATAACAAAGGACATGATTTGCGCCAAGCGCCCAATGGAAAATTTCCCGATTCAGAAGAAGTAGAAGTATGACAGGACTTCAGTAGGAAAGGATATAATAGTCGCGTTATGATTACAGATGCATGAGTCCCCGACCAACAATTGAAATATTTGATGCACTTCGACAACATAACTAGCCAACCGTTCGTCGACTGTCGACGGTCGACGGTCGGCATTCACCCGATGGAATATTTCACCAGCAAGAAATCTTTTAACGCGTTCGTTCAGGACTTAATAATTCGAATCATAGGAATTGACTACAACGCAGAAGACAGCAGTGGGTAACGGGTGTTCAAGACTGTTGATTGCGTTATTTGTCCTTATATACCCTTGCGTGAAGGGAGTCGAGACTCTCTCATTAAGGTGATATTCCATGGTGCTCAAGGACTATTGGAACTTCTCCAATGGGAAATACCAGTAAGTATGGCATGAGCCATCCATCTCAGTTCATTGATAATTGAAGACATGTCGACCGTCCGAGTTCTTCTTAAAGGTTGTGACATTCCACATTGCGTAAGATACTTGGGCTCATGAAGGTGAGCTCTTCATGATTATCAAGACCGCATGTTAGTATTCACTCACCAGATACGGGAGATCTACGAATAA